TTTCTTAGATGAATGGCCTCGGGAGGGACAGGAGTTCAGATATCTGAACGAGGCTTGGTGTACAGCCTCTGCTTTTCCAGGACGAGAAGTAACATTTACAATGGTTTAAGCACGTTTAGCGAATGCTTGCAGAGACGGAAGCGAAACAGCTACTATTTGCTAAATGAACTGATCAAAGACCCTTGGAACAGCCAAGAATGACCTTGAGCAAATACCTTGACAAACTGCTGCAGATTCGTGTTCGCCTTTGCTATAGCTTAAATGGTGGCACAGTACCTTGATCTTTGGATGGGTGTGCCTCAGCGACCGAGAGGATAAGCATTCATCGAGACAGGCAGACTGATGAAACACGAACAAACATTTATTGTTTCAATTAAATAAAATAAACATAACGCAACAAAATCAATGTGAGGAAATCATTTCTTGTGATTCTAATGTCTGCCTTGATCCGTGTTTACTCGTGGCATCTAAAAACAAGATATTGCGTAAATATCAGAGCAATGCACAACTTTCCATAGAATACTTTGATATCGAGGTCTGTACATATGTTCATTGATTCGTTTTAGCCTTCCAGACTCTTCGTTTGCAGGAGACCGAATGACATGTGGCATTCTGCTTGCTTGGACGCCTGATAATTGCCGTTAGTGACAGATACCATGTTTCATCAAGAGAAAAATGCATCGTTTTAAAAGTATATCATCTTAGTTTCATATTTCATGAATAATTATCATAAACATAGTATTGTTACTAATTCTTTATAGCTTTTTTTTTCATTGAAAACTAATACCTTATAGTGAGGTTGTTTTATGATGATAACATATATCCTAACAAGTGAATTGTTAGACTACTTTACTCTATAACTGACATGGGATCGACACTTAGTTGTCAATAAGAATCCATTTCTGGAAGTAAACAGTTTTGCGGCTTTATATTCTCCTCTGGATTTTTGCCCGCAATTTTCCGATGTAGGTAAATGAATGCCGCCATATTAGAAAAAATTAAAGCTGCACTCTGTAAATCTAATCCTATAACATGCATTAACGAAAGTGAGAAAGACCTAGGTGGCTGCTTGGAAACGACCAACACCGCATCATAAGCACCAGGAAACGACGGAAAGAGTATCGTCGAAAATGATGTCAGCCATGAAAGCGCAAGGCAATACTAATACCCTAACTGTTGCAAAAATAAATTTATTCATGCATGTGGTTGCTCTTTGAACCAAAAGAAAAATTCTGGGTCAGGACGACCTTTTTAATGGTTAAACAAGAAAGGAAACGAT